TAACTGGGTTTAAGGACAAAATGCCTTCAAACTGGTATGACTGCGCCATTTCAGTAATAATACTTTTCTTCAACAGTTTGACAGCGCTAAAATAGAATTTTTTCTATTTATTTATCTGTGCTGGAATAGAATTTTTCCATCTGCAATAATTTAAAAAGTGTATCAGATATTATTGTTAAAATGGGAATAGACACCCATGAATGCAGTTTTCAGTAATGCTGCCTTTCAACTTTTATTGTGAAGAGCAAGACAGTTTTATTTGTTCTCAAAGAAACATTTGATGAAAATCTGTTTGTTGTCAGAGATTTGATTAAGTGTGAGGTCTGATTAAATTTGAACTAGGTAACAAAGCCTTGAAATGTGTAACATCATTTTATGGAACATACGTGCACAAATAGGGATTTTCTGCACCAGTACAACTGAAGTCAAAATATAGACATGGGCCTTAGGGTTATATCTTTCTTCTGATAAATCCAACATTGGTGATTTACCTTTTTTTTTTTGAGACAGTCTCACTCTGTTGCCAGGCTGGAGTGCAGTGGCACGATCTCAGCTCCCTGCAACCTCCGCCTCCTGGGTTCAAACGATTTTCCTGCCTCAGCCTCCCAAGTAGCTGGGACTACAGGCACGTGTTACCACGCCCAGCTAATTTTTGTATTTTTAGTAGAGATGGAGTTTCATCATGTTGGCCAGGATGGTCTCAATCCCCTGACCTCGTGATCTGCCCGCCTCGGCCTCCCAAAGTGCTGAGATTACAAGTATGAGCCACTGTGCCTGGCTGATTTACTTTCAACAAAATAGCAGAACCTGCCAAATTAATTGTGGCTAATTTTGAAACTTAATTGTCTTTCAGTTTTGATCATAGGGTTCTATAAGAGCTGTAGGCACAATATTTTATATTCATTTATAAAATAATTTAGGTCATCATCGGGGGGGACATCTGTGATTTTTCTTTTCTGTAAAATCAGCTAATTGCTGAAGTTTAAGAAATACTCAGTTTTTTTGTGGTTCATGCCTGTAATCCTAGCACTTAGGGAGGCTGAGGCAGGTGGATCACCGGAGTCCAGGAGTTCAAAACCAGCCTGAGGAACAAAGTGAAATCCCATCTCTACAAAAAAATACAAAAAATTAGCCGGACATGGTGGTGTGTGCCTGTAGTCCCAGCTACTCCAGAGGCTGAGGTGGGAAGTTCCCTTGAGCCCAGGAGGTCGAGAGCACAGTGAGCTGTGATGGTGCCACTGCACTCCTGCTACCATGCCTGGCTAATTTTTGTATTTTTAGTAGAGATGGGGTTTCACCATGTTGGCCAGGCTGGTGTCAAACTCCTGGCCTTAAGTGACCCACCCTCCTTGGCCTCCCAACGTGCTAGGATCCCAGGCGAGAGCCACCCTGCCGGCCTGGAACCTTCATTTTAAAAAATAAAAGTTAATTATTCAAGTTTTGTTTTAAAGAGTGAGTTTTTAAAAAATTGATTACAGAAGCTTGCAGTTGAGAATTTAATAATTATTTAAATTGTAAAAGTCTTTTCTGTTATTGTAGTTCAATTTATGGTTACTTTTTTTTTTTTTAAAAACTTACTTTTAAAGCCCTCAATAGGTCAGGCACGGCAGCTCACACCTGTAATCCCAGCACTTTGGGAGGTCGAGGTGGGTGGATCACTTGAGGTCAGGAGTTTGAAACCAGCCTGGCCAACATGGCGAAACCCTGTCTCTACCAAAAACACACAAAAAAATTAGCTGGGCGTGGTGGTGGACACCTGTAATCCCAGCTACTCAGGAGACTGAGGGAGGAGAATCTCTTGAACCTGGGAGGGAGGTTGCAGTGAGCCGAGATTGTACCACTGCACTCCAGCCTAGGTGACAGAATGAGACTCAATCTCAAAAAAACAAACAAACCAAACCAAAACAGAAAACAATGTTTTCTCCATCTTAAACGTGCAAACGCATTGGTGTGAACGTATTTGTGTGACTAGAGAGGGTCTTTCTGTTTTTCAGTGACGTGGAGCCGACTGCACTGATGGAGGAACCCACAGTGGTGGAGGAGGCCCAGGGCGCCCCGGAAGAGGAGTCTCCAGCCAAGTAGGGTGTTTCATTCATTCCCTATTGTGGTGTTGGTTCTCTTCTTAATGATTTCCTTATTTTTTTTTGAGATGGAATCTCGCTCTGTCACCCAGGCTGGAGTGCAATGGCACGATCTTGGCTCACTGCAACCTCCACTTCCTGGGTTCAAGCGATTCTCCTGTCTCAGCCTCCTGAGTAGTTGGGACTATAGGCGTGTGCCACCACACCCGGCTAATTTTTGCATTTTTAGTAGAGATGGGGTTTCAGCATGTTGGCCAGGCTGGTCTCGAACTCCTAACCTCAAGTGATCCACCCTCTTTAGCCTCCCAAAGTGCTGGGATTATAGGTGAGCCATCACACCTGGCCTTTCTTGATGATTTCTAAGAGCTCTTCACAGACTAGGAATCTCAACCCCTTATCCTATCACGGAGGGCTGACCTTAATGTATTAATGACTGGTGATCAAACTAATTAATAATTAGTTCAGATAACCTAATGAATATCAGTGATAATTGGTGAAAGTTAGGCATTCTGTCCTCTGCCTACAAGCTCTTTTCCAGCAGCTTGTTAAACTCCTTGACTTGGAGTAGCCTGACTCTCAGATGGACCTCTAGTGCCTCGTCCCCTCTGCGCTCTCCCAGTCCACCCTCCCTCTCTCTTCATTATGTAGCTTAGATCCTGGCTCCGTCTCCAGCACCCTTCCAAGTTCTGTTTTTCTGCTTTTTTTTTTATTCTGAGTTTCGCTCTTATTGCCAGGCTGGCACAATCTTGGCTCACTGCAACCTCCGCCTCCCAGGTTCAAGCAATTCTTCTCCTCAGCCTCCTGAGTAGCTGGGATTACAGGCATGCGCCACCACGCCCAGCTAACTTTGTATTTTTAATAGAGATGGGGTTTCTCCATGTTGACCAGGCTGGTCTCGAACTCCCAACCTCTGGTGATCCGCCCATCTCAGCCTCCCAAAGTGCTGGGATTACAGGCATGAGCCACTGCGCCTGGCCTCCAAGTTCTTAAATACCCATGCACCTTCAACTCTCTGGCCCTTTGGACTTTCTGCTGTAACTTGCTAGCAAAGCCCCTCCTGGGTGACTCCACTATCTGCCTTCTCTCTGCGCGTTCCACAAGCTAAGCAATACAAGTCACATCGCGGGCCCGGTTAGAACCCCGTACATTCCCGGTCACCGAGATTCTGAAGCCAGGCCTTGGCGATCCCGGTTCTTGGGTTCACTCTCCCACCTTCTCTAATGACTGTTTTAATTTCTCCTCAAAACCCTGGCACTGCCTCCCACTGTACCCTTCCCCCATCGTCCTCTTTCATTTTTTGGATGCAACGTTTCCTTCTATGTCACAGAGTGATCAGGAGCCATCAGGTGGGAACTTCCTCATCCTCCCACTCCCAAAGATACAAGACTGCTACACCTGCACACCTCCTGGGCTCCTTCCCTCGTGGTAACCATCGGGGTGCCATCCCCCCGACCTCTTCACGCTTCGTATCCTCTCTCCTACTGACTTCATGAAAACGTCACGCTGTCAGTTAGCTCCTTCCTTTTTTGGTATATCCATCTCCTTCCTGACTAGTCTTCCAGTCAGCATTTAAACATGCTCAGTCTCTCCTGTGTAAGTGTCCTCTGGACCCCACATTCTCCGTCAGCCGCCTCTTTCAGAGTTGTGTGTGGCCTTCTTCACTTCCTCGCCTCCACTTCTTCCTCACTTTAGCCCAGGCCTGGCTTCTGTCCTCATTGCCCTTCTGAAACAGTCACCATGTCTCCGGATCTAATGGATGCTGCGGTCTGCGTCTTGACCTCTCAGAAGCATTTGACTTCATTGATTTCTTCGTAAACGTGCTCTCCTGTTGGTTTCTGTGATCACTCTGCTCTTCTGGTTTTCCTTCTGCCTCTCGGCATCTCCTTTGCAGGTTCATCCTTGTCTTTCTGGTTTTTTAAAACGTTAAGTCCTTCAGGGCCCTGCCTTAGGCCTTCTCTTTCTATAGAGTTTCTTTATAGGATCTTATGCACTTCTGTGGCTTAAATTGTCATTTACATGCTAACTGTGGAATATGTGTCTCTGGCTCCAACCTTCAACGTGGGCTCCAGGCCTGTGGGTCCATCTGCCTGCTGGACGCTTCTCCTGGGACGTTCCAGACGCTGCCGTGCCCAGCCTGACCGAGACTGAGCCGACTCCCCCCACATACCTCTGGTCCTCACTCGGTGTTTCCATCCAGCTGTACAAACCAGAAACCTACGAGTCATCCTTGGAACTTCTGTCTTCTTGACCCTCCTCTTTCCAAAACCCAGTCCTTCCCTCTGCTCTGGCGATTGTACCCCTAGAAACTGAGCATCGCCGCTCACCAGCGTCGTCTAAGCCATTGTTATCTGGACCACCGCTGGAGCCCCTCACAGGGCTCTCTGTATCCTCACCTTCTACGCCAAAGTGGTGTTCACACTGCATTCGGATTGTCATGCCCCCACCCCTTGCGTGAGACCCCCCGATGTCTTCCTGTCCTTTTTCTGTCCCCTGTCCTGACCTGCAGAGTCCTGTGTGGTCTGGCCCCTGCAAAACCCTCAAGTTCAGATATTCCTGTGCCTTCTCTAGGTTCACCATGAGACCTTTATTTCATGTTCTCAAACATACTTTTATCCTGCCCCTGCCCTCACACTTGCCGTACAGCTTTCACAACTGTTGTTGCTTTGTTTTCCCAAACCCCCTTTACTCTTTACCTGTCTATCTCTTACTCATCCTTCAGCTGCCAAAAGGCAGGGTGTCTAGTGGTTAAGAGCACAGACATTGAACCGGTGTGATGAGTTGAAATCCCAGCTCTGCCCCTTACTAGTTGGGCAAGTTATTTAATTTCTCTTTTTCCGTGGCTCAGTTTTCTTCATCTGTAAAATGGGAATAATAACGTCCCTACATTATAGGGTTCTTGTAAAGATTGTGTGTGCGTGTGTATGTGTGTGTGTGTGTCTCCGTGTCCTAGAGTGATGCCTGGCATGTAGCTAGTGCTTTATTAATATCATCTGCTGTTTTTATTGTTACTTATTGCAAGAGCGAAAGGCCACAGTGATTGATGATTGTGAAAGCTGTTAATTTACGATTCAAAACCATTTCAATGTATTATTCAAAACGAGAAATGTGTTTCATTAAAGAAATAGGATTAACAGTTAATATGAATATTTAGACAGTGAGCTAACTAAGGAACTCGTTTAACAGTTCATATGAATGTTGAGAAAGTTAACTGGATACCTTCAGGAGAACATTATATCCTTTTTGAGCCAATAAACATTTATACAAATTCAGGTAATATAAGGCAGAATAACAGAGAGTAAATTATAGTATTGTTCTAATCTACAGAATTGATTGAGATACTCTAGCATTCGTAATATTAGACAAAAATATTTAGTCACTCCGAAAGAAAATAAAGCTTGTTGACTTTCTGTCTGCAATATCCCAGGAGAGCTAGCTGGAAAACCTTTCTCTGTCTTTTCTGCTGACTGGGGGAAAGTGAGCCTCTATTTGGGATTGCAAGTGCAGTGCAGGTGTTGGGTGACCGTGCGGAGACATTCTTTTTTCTGCATTGCCTTGTCAGATTTTAACATTATTACTAAAATTTCTAATAATACAGTTATCATTTTTTGAGACTCTAAAAGTTGGGCTGGTATCCGAGGAACACATTGAGTGACAGCGATGTTCTCTGGTCTCAGCCCTGTTTGAGTGTGGATTTTGCACTCTGGCTTCTGGCATTTAGCCTGAATGTACGTTCAGCGTACCTCTCAGTTCTAGAACGTCTTGGTAGATGAATCTGATGTACTCTTACTTATGTTCAAACACACAACCTAAAGTGTACTTCCATTTTCCTCAAATAGGATGTATGTTACTGATAATTATATGTGCAGTGCCCTTCCATCCTTCCGTCTTCTTCCTTTCATTACAGAAGTACTAACTGTTCCTTGTCGCATGGTGTTCTAGTGTCCGACGATACCTGTGATGACTCCTTGTATTTTAAGAATAACTCTAACATTGACCAGGTGCGGTGGCTCACACCTGTAATCCCAGCACTTTGGGAGGC